CTTTCCGAACAGGGACTGAAATAGGGCTCCAGGGAGCGTGGGAGAGGTGCGGGTGGCAGCCTCAGGTGGGGCTGCTGAGGGCCATTAGGGCTAATTAAGGCTAATTAACCCTCTCAGTATGTGCTCATCTCAGTGTGGTGTGCAGCCCACAGGGCTCAGCACCATCTTCCCCAGGCAACGGGCAAAAAATAAAAATAATTAAAAAAAAGGATTTCAAATTCAGAATGAAAGCCTGGCTTCTGCTTTTCTGCGAAAATCCATTTTAACAAAAAACGTGGCAGCAGCTAACCTACGTTGGGTCAGAATTTTTTGTTTTGTTTTGTTTTACCAGCTGCTCATGTCCAGAGGAAGCCTGGTATACTATGCTGCCTTTTTTTTTTTTTTTTTTTTCCCTCCAAAGTCTAACTAAATTTGGCAATAGCAGCTAAACAAATTCCCCAGTACGCGCTCTCGGATATCACAAATATACTGGGATCTGGGGTATGGTGTGGAAAGCATAGCAACATACTTAGCAACCATAACAAATAAAAAATGTCGTGGTTCAGCTCTTCGTTAAAGCCCGTAACAGGATTAATAAGTGTTTTGGCGTGTGCGCTTGTGCTGTCGCTTCAGCGAGGATTCGAACCGGGACACGAATCTGTGAGGTGGGAGGAGACACAGCAGCGCTGATGGACATGCCCTGTGCGAGGCGGGGAATTCTCGGGGGTGCTAGCTAGGTAGTAAAATTCAGATTTTAACCTGCAGTTAAAAGTAACCTGACATTCTCACACGTGTTAAAGAGATAATGAACATTCTTTGACTTGCAGGGATGTGTCTCATTAGACTGAAAGTGAGAAGTGCAGGGATGCTCAGGATTTCGGGTGCTTAGCCAGGAAAGGCCTGTCAGGAAAGCATTTTGAAAGGAGGATGATGAGTAGGAGGGAAAGCGGGACATGAAGCCATGGTCATCTCCTCTCGCCCCTGCAGTTGGGGCTTGTCTCCCCTGCTGGGGTGAAGAGGAGAGGGAGTGCTGTCCCACGCAGACCTCGGAAATTAAAAGATGCTGTATTTCTCTCCTGGCACCTCGGTGGGCACTGCATAGCCTTCTTCCAAGGCCACCTCCATGTGAGGTCTTTGACCTTTGCATCCTCACCCCTCAGCCATTTGGAGTGAGAGACTGCGGCTTTGGGGCTCGGGCAGGGTGGACAACCCCTGCCGGGACACACAGAATATGTCTGGAGTCCACTGCACCCGCAGAAAGGGAGGAGAGGCAAACCAGCTATTTTTTGAGCTGCAAAATATTATTATCCCAAAGAGAAGTTGTATTTACTAGGGTCAGAAGAGCCTCTCTCTGCACATTCCAGGCTCTGAAAGTCTGCAAGATGCCGGAGCGGCTGCTCTGGCGAAAAAAAATAATCTCCTTTAGTCAGCTCAAATGCTGGCCAGAGGTTTGCAGCCCAGTCCAGACACTAGAGAGCCGACCTTAAACATTTCTGGGGCTGAAAGGGAGATCTGCAGCCAGCTAATGCTGGGAGAGATGGTTCAGATGGCCCTCGAGGTGGGTGAGAAGCGGCTGGGAGGCCGGGCATGGCTTTGCAAGCTCCAGCAGCATGCCCGCCCATCCCGGAGAGGGGAAACCAGTTCACCCTGGCCTCGGGAATTAAGAAAATGTGGTCAGTTTGGGGCTGTGCTGCGAGGAAAAGCCTCCAGTGCAAAGGTCCAAACGCCCGTCTCCAGCCTCGTTAGCTGGTTAAAGCATCAGATGGAAACTATTCCGTTCCGCCAGGAACTTATCCTCTTACAGGCTCCTGTTTTTTGGCTCCCAGAGCCCGGCAAAGCCAGGAGAGGAAAAGGGCTGTCAGTGCAAGGATGATGGAAAGCGTCGTTCACCCATCAGAGGTACCGCAGCTGAGAACGGGTGATGGAGATGGCAGAGGTAAGGCACCAGGAGCTGCTCCTGGCACGTCCCCAGCCTCCTCTTCTGCATCTCTTGGAGGATCTCATCCCCAAGCACAGGGATCTCTTTATCATCCCAAAAACACTGTAATGGCCCGTTGTAGAAGCACACCCAACCAGGCTGGGCAACTGCAGCCGGGCAGACCCTGCTGCAGCAAACTGCAGGCTCAGGGCTGCCCACTCTGTAGCCTTCTTTCTCCTAACTTTGTTTTCCTCCCCCAAAGCTGTCCGTTAATTTTTAGCTTTTCCTAAAAAATAAAATAAATAAAATACTCCTTCTCATTTCAGCTCAGCTCCTTTCCTGTTATGGCTTTTGTCTTCCAGCAGCGATTTTCGGTGGCATACGAGGACGCAGCCAGCTGCCTCCACAGCGCTGCTCTCTTATCTAAGGCGCTAATTTAAAACACACGCCGGGCTGGGTTCATGGGGATAACTGCTCCCTTTCCTGGATGAAACGCTACTTGGCCAGGGTCCGGGTTAGCTCCGAGGAAAACCTCATTGCCTGCTGCTCGGTGAAATCCCAGGGTGCAGGCACACAATGAAGCAGTCCAGCCTTCCTCAGCCAGGTCCATAAAGCCTTCTCCTTCCCCGTGCTGAGGCCAGCTGCATGGTGACACCCACACACACACCACCCCAGGGTTATCAAGGTGTCCTCAACAGGACAAGGAGGTCCTCCTGCCTTAGGAGAGGAGAGGACGTCTCGGCCCCCTTTGAGAGTGGCAGCACTGATCCATCCCACCAGCTGCTCCTTTTTCTTCTCCTGGTGGTCCTCCTGGGCTTTGTCCACCTGCAGCTGGAGGGTCTTTCCCTGCGGATCTCCACCACCCCCATCCAAAGGTGGGCAGCCCCCAGGTCTGCTGCTCTGTAGGCCCCACACTCTCGCCAGAGCCAGGCCACCCTTCTCCACCACCACCCACTTTGGAAAGCAGCTACACTTTCAGAAAAGCATTTTTATTTTTTTTTTTCTTTTAAGCACTCGTGTGGAGGAGCAAGCCTGTTGGGTTTTAATTTCCCTCCCCCCCAGCTCAACCCTGGGATGCATTTCCCTGCCCGGCTCCACCGTCCAGCCGGAGCGCCCGCCAACCCAAACATCCTCCATCCGCCGGGCCTGGGATCTGGCAGCCCCATGCTGGCATTGGTGAGGAGCAGGCACTG